GGTGCCACCACTAGGGCCAGTTGACCCGGATTATCAACCCGGGGAGGGTGATCCTCCCTGCTCCAGACAATAGGCTATTCCGACCACCTCAAGTAACGAGGGACTGCCGGTTCAACAGAATTCACAGCCCTCTTATGAACTTTCTGATCACGTTTACACAAACTTGTGGTGAACACGTGATACTGCCCACTGTTTAACTGTTTTGGATGGCTCTGATAACCCGACTGCTGCTGCTGCTGCTGCTGACCTCCTTGACCAGACTGCTGTTGATTATAACCACCCTGGTTTCCCTGAAAACCGGATCCTGAACCACCGCCCGGGCCATGAAAGCCGCCGGCTCCTGAGCCGCCGCCCGGGCCTTGATTGCCATCAAACGTATTAGAGTTCTTGAAAGCTTTCATGATTGCGCAATCCTTCCATAAATGAGTCGCTGGTCGCTCCCGGGTATCGTGTTTCAGGTAGGGTTCATTGAGTAGTTGCTCGAGAGACGGACCTGACCCACCAAACTGGGGTGGTTTTCCTTTGCGCTTCTGATTGTTACCCTGTGCATTGGCCACAAATTCCGGGTTACCATCCGCCTTACGCTTATTGCCTCCTTGACTCGCCGGGTTATGCTGCTGACCCTTTCCATTATCGTTCTTCTTTCCCTTCCCTGTCTTTTCCTCATCAGACGCGGGATCCTTGGTACTACCAGAATCGGCATACTTGACTAAAGCCGCCATCAGCGTCCCCATATCGTTGCAATCATGCTTAAGGCGCCCCAGCTTCTGTCTCAAAGGCTCAAAGCGGCAATTCTTCTCCAGCATGAGAACTGCTGAGCCGGCATCCATCTTGTCAGACGAATGTATTATATCCTTGACCCGGCGCACCCAATGAGTCGTAGATTCACTTTCTTCCTGCTTACAATTTGTCAGATCCACAATTGACATAGACTGCTTGCAAGTATCTTTGAAGTTCTGGATGAAACGGGCCTTTAGCTCCGCCCATGAACTAATGGAGTTGGGTGGCAAACCCTTTAATCAAGAACGGACCATTCTGTCCAGCATCATGGTGAAATATTTAGCCATCGCTTCATCACTAACCTCCAGCAGCTCCATAGCCATCTCGTAACTTTCAATCCACGCCCAGGCTGTAAATCGGCCGTATAATTCGGCACCTTCCGAGGTCCCTTGAAATCATTGGGCAGACGTACATTACGTAGAGCCGATACCAGACAAGGAACTCCTCCGGTTCTAGTAGCAACTCCCGCTTCAACGGCAGTCGTCGGGTAAGCCGGTGAATTCTGTAGGGCCGCTAGCTGAGCCGCCCGCTCGTCCTCCTAACGTATCCGATCCCGAACCGGGTTATGCCCGCCGGGCTGGTTCCGGCGCTGAGCGTTACTTGACAAGGCCTCTGACTCCATGTGTCTACTGTAACTCGGGCTCCGATTTTGACGAGGCGGAGCTAACCAGGGCGGAGGAGTCGAGTGAATCCTATCCCGACTGTAGGAGTAGGTTTCTTGCTGAGCCAGGGCTGTTTGGACAAGTTCTCTGATCTTCCGGGTTTCCACCGCTGTCGGATCATCCCCATCTACTGGGAGAGCCGCCAAATGTGCTGATGCTGCGATTAAGTTCTCCATGGGGTTGGAGAAGTGACCCTGTGGTATTGGTATATAATTGGGCGGTGCCATATTGCCGTGAGGAGGTGCCATCCCCTGAGGCTGGACTGGACCTCCCGCTCCGGATGTAATAAGCTGATTCGCACCTGGCGGGTTACTTGGACCGGCCCTGGGTGTAGCAAAGAGATTCCGAGGATCATAATTCTGAGGTAAACGGGACTGAGTTTTCTGATGTCTCCTCCTCATTACCTCATTAGATGCGTTTAAGCTCAACATGAGCTACAAGGCCTCTGCCTGAAGTTGCTGCGCTCGTACGTCCAAAGCCGCCCGCTCTGCTGCTAATCTAGCGTCCTCGGCTGCTAAGGTTTCCTTGACCCGGGCGATCTCGTCGCGAACCTGTGCCACCTCTGCCTCATGCTCAGATTGGTTCGCAGGGATGACTGTAACAGTTAACAAAGTCGTAAGCTTATCCATGAGATCCATCAGCATCTGAGCCGGTGAGCGCACGGGCCTCCTGGCCCGGCTGCTCCTAACCCGGACGTTATCGCAGCTGAGGCCGTAGAGTTTTGGCCGGGTTGAGTACCAGCCATGAAGACTCTTGCCCAGTTTGGCGACTCTGAGAGGTCCGGAATAGTGCTGCCATCGGAACAACCCCCAAGCACACCATCTTGAACTTGATACAGCGAATCTGTTGAGCCGGCGGATGAATCACCGTTAGAGAGGACGGCTGGCTCACCATCACCTTCAGATCCTTCAGGAAGTTCACCTCCATGGATGCAACCCACAAAGGCACGCTTCACGACGGGTTGAGCTCGGGCGGGTTTCGCACGATGAGCCGTCTCGACGAGGTCGGTGCAGCTGTCCGGCTCAGGGCCTGGCTCACCAATCCGACCGATGAAGACGTGAATTCCGCCAAAGGGGACCCGGTAGCCATACTCAATTGAGCCGGCGTCGGGGCCCCAGCCTACGTCGTCGATGTAGATCTTGCCGCGACGACTCTTGGTCATCCGGCCAACTGCGTATCCCTTGAGCCCTTCGAAGCTGCCCTTCAAGAACTCAAATCCACCGTGCGCTGGCCCCACGGTGGGTGCCAACTGTCGTGGAATTGTCACGACAGATGTCCTCTTGCAAGGACTTGATCGTGGAGCTATCGCAACTAGGAAGCTTAAAGGGGTTAATCGGGACAAAGGACACGCGAGGTTTATACTAGTTCAGCCCCTTACGGTGAAGGAAGGCCTACGTCTAGTTGGGTTGGAATTGCTTGAGGTTTCGATGACCGGGGAGCGAGATATGCTATGCCCGGTTCTCGATCTCTTGTTTCTTCTGTCCCTAAGCCGCCAGCAGGTCATCCCCTTATATACACGGATTGACGCCCTACGGCTTACAGAGTCCCGGCCGGCTCATAAACAGTGTCCGGCTCGGTGACTAGTTATTTCTATCTTACAATACAAGTCGCGCCCTCATGGCGGTTTATCACCATGGGCCATAAAGCGTCTGTGGGCCACTAGACCCTTTACTGAACCGCCATCTTCACTCTTGGTCTTGGGCTTCAGATGGGCTTCTCTTTACGTAACTCGCCCCCCCTGGGCGGTTTAGGTAAATAGTTATATCTCCAACAGTAGCTAGCTTCATCCATAATGCCGCAGAGGGGGCATGTCCCGCGCGACGTGAGATGCCTATACTGCATGCACGCCGTAGTAGCCAACGCACCAGTCGCCGCTCGCCAAGCCGTATGTTCCATGCGTAAAGGAACACAAGAGTTCCAGATAAGTTGGCTACCTAATGGGTAGATCAAATAGAACATGATTTTTTCATAATTTTACATTCATCGACAACACATTTGACAGAAAAAACATTCATCTCAACTCAATAAAATATAGATGAGTACATGACAATTATCTTAATTCAAATAGACAATTCATAACAACTTTAACATAGGTTCATGAGTTCACGACATACTTTACGGGTAAGGTCCATATGTTAGTATAAACGGGCAGGCTATACCCATTACTTAACGGGTAGGGTACGGGTACTACCCATGGGTATAAAATTGTGTCCATACCCTACCCATGCGGATACGGTATCCGCGGATGCCCGTACCCATGGGTAAAGTTGCCAGGTAATATCTATCTAATTATCCATAAATATTACCATGACAAAAAAATTGTCCACGTCTGCCAGTACTGCCTTTTGCAGATAAATCAACCATGCCCCTGTCGCATCGTTGGTTTGCCGCTCCGGCCTCATCGCGCAATATCATCGCATGACCTCACTGCGCACGCCTCACAACATGATCTCATCGCGCGGGCCTCGCCGCTCCGGCCTCGTCACCCGACGGACTCAGGCAACACCGCACGAGCTTCAACACGTGAACAACAATCCACGAAACCTCACCGCAACTGGCTCGAGGGCTACGCCTCACCTCTTACGGACACATGCAATATTTATTTATTTATTTTTCTCATCCATGTCAAAAATTCATGAGAATTAATTTCTGCCAGTATACTCTATGTATGTAGATTACAATCAGGACATGGCAGTCTATGAGAGGTGAGGGTACCTACCACCGGATGGTAGGATTTACTACCAGTATTTACAAGATGTTTGAACTGCCAAAACGTGTTATATTTAGAAACAGAGGATGCGATTTTTATATATACATAAATGAGATCATTATAATCACATATAATTTTTAATAATAATTATTAGATACCTCAAAGTGAGTTGCGTCAAAATTCTATTTGAATATGTATTTATATTTTTTGAGGGGATACTGAACTATTTTTACTAATGATACCCCGCACGTTGTTGCGGAAATATTTTGTAACATATCTCAATGTGATTCATTGTATGAAACATATATAAAAGGATAAAATTGAAACTACATATACTTTATTATGTTTGATCACTATATAGTTGTAAAATGTTTATTAAATATAAATAGAATAATAGAATAGAAATTCACATGTTGAGATAGGTCTTTTTTTATGCAGGTTTCATGATGAAGTGGCATACTTGCATGTTGCGAGACATATGATAGTGAGTGTGGGGTTTTTCTCGTGTATGTTGTGTGATGATGTGGCATGCTTGCATGTTGAGAGAAATAGTTAGTGGGGCTACCTATTTAGATATACTCAAAAATAGTTAGTAGAAGATAACGCAAAAATAACTACGCTGCCTGACTGGGCCTGGCCTATTTAGGGGCGTGCCCACACACACACGCACATTGGACACTAACGGGCCCAACGAACGACAGATACTCGATACCCCCAGCCCGCTAGGGTTTTGCTGGCAGGTATAAAATACCCCTTCTTCTCCTCTCCCATTCCTCCCTCCTATCAACTCGACCACAGAGCGGCGGCGGCGGCGGCGGCAGCGGAAGAAAGAGGAGAGAGCTCCAGCCATGGTGCACGTCAACTTCTACCGCAACTGTAAGACCGCGCCACGATCCTCCTGTCTCCCCTACCCTCTTGTGCTCTCTGCTCAATTGTATTCAGTCATTTGTGTCTTCGTGCTCGCCGTGATCTGATGGGGTGTTGCTCGCATAGGCTTAGTTGCAGCAAGTTGCTATCGGTTAGCCTTCTGCTTCCTGCTACAGCAGCTGCTTGCCGCAACGCAGAGCTCAGAGATCTCTTAGCTGTGGCGTCTTACTTCGGGCATAGCTGGTGAGAGGTCAGAGATTCGTTCCCGTGATGTCTTGCGTGCCGAGTTGCTGTGAGGCGAGGGGGAAGGTTGATTAGCGAGTGCATGATTTGCGTCGGCGTGATGCCGTTGTGGGATGAGAGGTTTGTTTGCATAAGATTTTGGCCTATCTTTTGTTCGGAATACCTGGATTTGAGTCGTGCCTGGCACGAGGACTGCGCCCTAGATCTAATTAAAGGTGTCTTACTTGAGCACTAGACATTTGTTTACTCTCAGCTCTGTCAGCACGCTCAGTTGGTAGTCTCGTCAGATTTAAACAAGTTCCTTGTTTCAGGGATATTGATATGCAGCCCATAGCCATCAGGTTTACTGATAAATTTAGAATCAGGCCAGCCGAAGTGAAGTCTAATTACCTATATATCTGTTTCACGGTGGAAACTATTCACCTCCTACTGTTACTGGTTCTTCATGTGGGAGCTTTGAATTTGGTATATATACTATGCCACTAGAATAGTCACAGAAATGATGTTGGTGCTTCATAATGGAGCCACCTGATTTTGTTGTATGCCATAGCCTAGATGTTGCATATTCTTTTTTGTGTGAACATGTAATTCATACTACATACAAGAGTTATATGCATGTATTCAACATCTTTGTTCAACATATAAACAGGTATTAGCAAGATATACAACCTACCAATACCATTATGTTGCCACAAATACAATATTGACGTGGCAATCAGACCATAAACATGTGCAATGATACAAGATAGGCAGTGCGGTGAATGTAAGTACAGTAGATTTCATAAAGAACATGCCACAATAAATAGAGTACATCCTGAAACATGATAAAATTCATACTACATACAAGAGTTATATGCATGTATTTGTTCATATGCTTTTATTTCCTATGTGCTTTTAATTAAATCAGATCAATTCTTCTGATTTCATTCCGACCAGAAACTTGTGAATGTGTTATTATAATTGCCTGCTTTTAATGCACTTGGACATAGTGGCATATGTGGTTCCACTTTGTACCTGGCACTTGCTCTATGCTACAATTTGCCCATGTTATGTTTTTACTGCAACTCATGCCTTGTTTTCATAAATTTATTTTCTTACTATGTATTTGCAAGTTAAATGTTTTCTCTTGCAGATGGTAAGACATTCAAGAAACCAAGGCGTCCTTATGAGAAGGAGCGTCTTGATGCAGAACTAAAGCTGGTCGGTGAATATGGACTGAGGTGCAAGCGTGAGCTCTGGAGGGTTCAGTATGCACTGAGCAGGATTCGTAATGCTGCAAGACACTTGCTCACACTGGATGAGAAAAATCCCCGCCGTATCTTTGAGGGCGCGGCCCTTCTCCGTCGCATGAACCGCTATGGTCTCCTTGCTGAGGGCCAGGATAAGCTTGATTACGTCCTTGCCCTGACTGCTGAGAACTTCCTTGCAAGGCGCCTTCAGACTCTTGTCTTCAAGGCTGGCATGGCAAAATCCATCCACCATGCCCGTGTCTTGATCAGGCAACGCCACATCAGGTATGCTTCTGGTATATTTTTCTTGCAATGCATGTTTTGGCATATGGTTCCATAAATTTGCATGTTGATCTAGAAATCTAAATGGTTTGCACTAGTTGTTTAATACAGGCTACCTGATACTGGTCTGTTACTGGTTATTACATGCATCTATGAATTACATGTTGGCCTGATACTGGTTACATGCATGTCTGAATTTTATCATCTTTCAGGATGTACTCTATTTATTGTGGCATGTTCTTTATGAAATCTACTGTACTTACATTCACCGCACTGCCTATCTTGTATCATTGCACATGTTTATGGTCTGATTGCCACGTCAATATTGTATTTGTGGCAACATAATGGTATTGGTAGGTTGTATATCTTGCTAAGATGTTGAACCTGTTTTCTGTAACTGAGATTATGTCAATATTGTTAGTCTTTGCTTCTTGTGTTATACTGGTTGTGGTCTGGTATATATGTGGCATTTGCTTTGAGTTTTCATTGTGAAGTGATATTTTCCATGAATATTCCTGCTTGTTCACTTTGTGAATGAAGTGTTAAAATAATTTTCTTGAAACCATATTGCAGGGTTGGCAGGCAGATCGTCAATGTCCCCTCGTTCATGGTGAGGGTTGAATCTGAGAAGCACATCGACTTCTCACTGACAAGTCCATTCGGTGGAGGCCCTGCAGGCAGGGTGAAGAGAAAGAACCAGAAGAAGGCAAGTGGTGGCGGTGACGCCGGTGGTGACGAGGAAGAGGAATGAGGAACTAGTAGCTATCACCTTATATTTATCAAATGTTGGTGTTATGAGTACTTTAGCTGAGAGGCCTGAGACTTTCATGGGTTATCCTCTTGTCATTTTGTCACTTTATCACTGTTGTTAGCATGTATGCACTGCTTTATGTTTGGAGCTATTTGGTCGTGATGAAAGTTATCTAAAAATGTTCTTGACTATGACCTGGAATCCTCCTTCAATTGCTTCTGTTGGGGTGGTTGTCTGATAGTTCATAGGAATCAACCTTTCTTTTCGAGTAAATGAATTACTTTGATGATCCATTTGCTGGTTCATAGGAATCAACCTTTCTTTTCGAGTAAATGAATTACTTTGATGATCTATTTGCTGGTTTGTTTCCACGAGTTGTCCACTCCAGCGGGGATCAATATTCTCTCCTAATTAGCTATACAAGTTCATACCAAAACATATAAACGCAATCACATGCCCTAGATCCATACATGTCAAGTTACCATACTTGAAAGCCATACACCCATATCGTGATTCGTAGGATTGCAAAAACTACATCCATACATGTTACTCCCTTCGTTTTTTTTAGTCTGCATATAAGATTTGGTCAAAGTCAAGCTTTGTAGAATTTGACTAACTTTATATTAAAAAATATAAACATTCACAATATGAAATCAATATTATCAGATGCATCATGAAACGTATGTTCATACTATATAGTTTTAGTATTGTAGATGTTCATATTTTTTTATATAAATTTGGTCAAACTTTGTGCAGTTTGACTTTGATCAAATCTTATATACGAAGTAAAAAAAAGGAGGGAGTAAGTTGCCACAGCCATACAACCACATCAAATTTATTTTAGGGCTTCTTTTATTTGTAGGATTGCAAAAACGAACCGTAGGATTGTTATGACATTGCCCATTGAATTCCTATAGGTTTTGAGTTTGTTTGATTGTGTCACAAAAAAACAACAACAAAGGATTTCTTCAAAGATGTTGGAGTGGATGTTAGAAATTCCTACGAAGTGTAGTAGAAATCAATCCATAGGAAATTCCTATAGAATTCAATCCTATGAATCAAATGACCAATGCAGAAAAAATTCCTATGAATTCTAACTCTTTAAAAATCCTACGAAAATGCTTTGAATCAAAGAGGCCCTTAGAAGTTCTTCACATATCTACTCACGCAATGGGTTCAGAAAGTTTCATGACGGCTCTTGCGATCTTGGGATTGTCGACAAGATGAGCATAGTATCTTCATCAAATTCTTTCAAATTGGAGACTACATCCCAAAGGTCATCAAGTATATCAAATTCTTCCAAATTGGAGACTACATCCCAAAGGTCATCAGGTATATCATCATCATCTCCACCAAGCATCACAAGAGCTTCGGCAATTTGGAACACATCTTTAAGAGTGCTAACTAGTGGATCATCAAGAACTTTCACTACCTTAGCCTTCTTTTTCGATGGTCCTTCGGGGTGAGAAGACTCACCAACATTTGGTGACGTGTTCACCTCACCATTCTTCTTATCACCGACGTCAATAGAAAGGAGATCATTTCTAGACTTTGGATTCATCATCGTAGCCGCGTTTGTCCCCCAAATGGTCGCCATGGCATGATAGTGCTCAATTGGGCTATTCAAGAAGGGTGCATCAAATTTGTGGGCCTTCAAAAAATGTGCAAGTCATTAGCATAATGTAGGCAAAATATGGCATGATAATGTTCATATCATTAAGCTTACCATACAATGACCAGCATAATTTTCTTCGTTGAGCCTAGTTGTGCAAGTATCTTCATCCATAGAGCTCCACTTAAATTCTTCAAATCGTCCACCCTACCCCAAATCCTCCTCCACCTCTTGAGATGGTTTCTAACTTGATCAGAGATGACAACTAGCTTGAATTGCTCGTTGAAAATTGCAGCACATTGTTTATGATGCGTCTCCTTGAATCCTAGCAACAATGTCAGCCAAAAACCTAACATACTGTTAGTCATGTAAGTGGTCCATACAATGACCCCACTTTTCCCGGAGTTCCCACTTGCAATGGTAACTTCAACACTGTCAACTTCTGCCTAGCCATCAAAAGATTGCAAAGGAATGGCTTAAAGCATCTCAAATACACGGTTTCAACATATAAATGGTATGATTTGTCCAATCATCAAAAGGTTGCAATAAAATGGATGAAAGCATGACAAATACATGGTCCAATATAGTAAATGATAAAAATCTATCCAGCCATCTAAAGGTTGCAAAAAAAGGATGAAAGCATCACAAAACATGGTTCATAATAAATGGTACAATCTGTCCAGCCATGAAATAAATGCAAAGGTAGCTGCATAAACACTACAAATGCGTAGAGTGTGTCACACTCATAAATTTCCACACATGAGTTGCCTATCTTCCCACATTTGGGCGGTAATTTGTAGCCTATGGTCTACCGTGGCCCTACTGTCACTTGCTTATTGCCTTGATGTTCGAATTGGTTAGGTGGTCCATGTCACTTCTGGTATAATAAAATGAGGAATCCCTTGTGATAGTGCATAATTATGAAGAACACAACAAGCTATAACAATGTTGACTTGGACTGGGAAAGTAAAGAATGGTTTGGCATCATCTAAAAGTTTGAAACGCCTATTGAGAGATCCAAAAGCCCTATATACCATCGCCCGTAGAGATGAGTACCTAAGGTTGAATAACTTCTTATCATTTTGAACCAGATTGTTGACCGACTCATTCAAATGGTACCTCACACCCTCACACCATGAGAAGGTGGTAAGAACCTGGGCTTGGCTCCGTAGCTGGCATCAACTAGGTAGAATTTTCGTAAAAAAATCAAAACAAATATTGGTGACAATGTGTGACTCCCTTGATTTAATCGTACACTAATCATACACGCAAATGTGTACGATCAAGATCAGGGACTCACGAGAAGATATCACAACACAACTCTAAACACAAATAAAGTCATACAAGTATCATATTACAAGCCAGGGGCCTCGAGGGCTCGAATACAAGTGCTCGAATATAAATGAGTCGGCGGAAGCAATAATATCTGAGTACATACACAAGTTAAACAAGGTGCCATAAGATGGCTAGCACAAACTGGGATATAGATCAAAGAGGCGCATGCCTCCTGCCTGGGATCCTCCTAACTACTCCTGGTCGTCGGTGGCCTGAACGTAGTAGTAGGCACCTCCGGTGTAGTAGGGTTCATCGTCGACGGTGGCGTCTGGCTCCTGGACTCTAACATCTGATCGCAGCAACCGGGTATTGAAGGGGAAAAGGGGGAAGCAAAGCAACCATGAGTACTCATCCAAAGTACTCGCAAGCAAGGATCTACACTACATATGCATTGGTATCAATGAAATGGGTAGTATCTGTGGACTGAACTGCAGAATGCCGGAATAAGAGGGGGAGAAGCTAGTCCTATCGAAGACTACGCTTCTGGTAGCCTCCATCTTGAAGCATATAGAAGAGAGTTGCAAGTATAGTAACAAGTGACATTGCATAGCATAATCCTACCCGATGATCGTCCCCTCGTCGCCCTGTGGGAAAGCGATCATCGGGTTGTATCTGGCACATGAAAGGGTGTGTTTTATTAAGTATCTAGTTCTAGTTGTCATGAGGTCGGAATACAACGCTGGGTCGTCCTGTTACCATGGACACGTCTATTCGAATAGATCAATCTTCCCCGCAGGAGTGCACCACATTACCGAACACGCTCGATCACTCTGGCCGGACACACTTTCCTTGGTCATGCCTGACCTCAGAAGATCCAACATGTCGTAGCCCTACCTAGACCTAAGAGAGAGGTCACACCGGTCTAAATCCTAAGCGCGCAGGGGTCTTGGGCCCATCGCCCTTTGCACTCCTGCACGTTGTGAACGCGGCCGGTGAGCATACCTAGCCCCCTTATACTAGAGCAGGCGTTCCAGTCCAACCCGGCGTGCGCCGCTCAGTTGCTGACGCCTAGGAGGCTTCGGCTGATACTACGACGTCGAGTGCCCATAACTGTTCCCACATGGTGGTTAGTGCGTATAGGTCAATACCAACTTAGATCAAACACCCAATCTCGTTAAGCGTGTTATTTGAAGTAACCGCGGACGCCGACCAGGGACCAAGCCCACCTGTCTCCTAGGTGGTCTCAACCTTCCCTGTCGCTCCGTCACAAAGTATAGTCGGGGCCTTTGAGAACCCAGGCCCACCATTACCTGGATGGAACCACCTGCCCCTTCAGCCCCTCACATCCGAACAGTAACATAAGTAATTTAGTAGTATATAGTATATACCCGTGATCACCTCCCGAAGTGATCACGACACAATAGTATAGCATGGCAGATGGACAAGAATGTAGGGACACTGATGTAATACTAGCAACCTATACTAAGCATTTAGGATTACATGTAAAGTATCAACAGTAGTAACAAGGACAGGCTATGCAGCAATATAGGATCAAACCGATGAAACAGTAACGGTACTCTAATGCAAGCAGTAGAGGGAAAGAGTAGGCGATATCGGGATGATCAAGGGGGGGGGGTTTGCTTGCCTGGAAGCTCTACTGAGAAGAAGGGGTCGTCAACATCGTAGTTTTACTGGGTAGCAGTGGTTTCGGTCTTGGTGTCTAACGAGAGAAGAGGGGGAAGAAACAATAAATATAATGCAAATATATGCATGACGATGCATGTCATGACAATGGGCGGTGGCAGGTGTGCCCTAACGAGGTAGTAGGTGCTACTCGCTAAGGGGGAAAACATCCGGGAAAGTATTCCCGGTGTTTGACGTTTTCGGACAGTCGAACCGGAGGGGTACGGTTGCATGTTCGCTATGCTAGGGACGTGTGGCGGACGGACATACATCATACTCAGATTCGTCTCATCGTTCTGAGAAACTTTCATATACAAAGTATTTTCATCCGAGTTACGGAATATTTTATATTAATTTACTAAGATTTAATCATTTGCTAAATTCTGGAAAATACCTAAATTCGAATTTAAACAGTGTATTACTTTTTATA